ATTTTCTAGCCTTGGCAAAAGAATATCTATCTTACACCATCTGAATATAAATTGCACTTTTAACTGTATAAGGAAGCCTATTGTCTATAAAACTTGAATCTGTTGGCTGGAAAACAAACTCCATGAGTTCCTCCTCTTTTTAGCCAAAAGCAAAGGTAGCGTTAGCAGGGAAACATCCCAAGGTCAGCCAGCCTTGCTATGAAGCTTCAGGATCCAGCTGAGGATTTCACCAAGCCTGATTGAGACTGGCTATATGAGGACACAGCCCTGTACTGTCTTGCTTTGTGTTGGAAATTCCAATGGAAGTTGGGTCAAAAAGAATACTGGAGGATGTGAATTGACTCAGGCAAATTGGAACATGTGGTTAGGAAAATTAAAAAAACCTCCTCAGTTGAGCGTATATATAGTACAGTGGAAACCACTTCCTGTCCCCAAGGATGTGCTCTGTGTGTCCTGCAGTACCATTCTGTGCTTCACTCCAGCACAGAAACCAGAAATCTCCATGGGTGTCTGTTCTTTCAGCAATCATAAATCCTCTTGCCACTCTGAGAGAAAAGAACAGCTTGTGTGAAGCAGCGTGGGGTCTGTACAGAGCTGGGAAGGATGATTGCTGATTGCCCCATTGTGTTTTGCAGCTATTGTCCAAGGAGACACACTGGAAGAAATCTACAACCAAGTGAAACAGATCATAGAGGAACAGTCTGGTCCTTACATCTGGGTTCCAGCAAAGGAAAAATTATGAAAACAGATTTTTATTTTTCATTTTCTAACTGACATCACCTACTACATCTGACGACTCTTAAGCCCTTCCAGTGGAGCCTGCCTCTAGTTCTCTCCAGCGTGGTTCATACCCTAACCATCACATTCTGCAGTTCCCATAATGCTTTACATTTGGTGTCTCTCTTAGTTTAAATAATTTGTATTATTGTGTGTTGTTGGTTTGCCATTTTTCAAACATGACAGTGGAATGGCCTGACCAGCTATTAGTTTAGGGTGGGGGTGGGAGGGAATTGCTTGGTAAAATTCCTTAATGTTTAAGGGAAAGTAACTTTCAAAGATTTTTCAAAAAAGCTTTATAGACATTCTTTTAAAATTTCATAACAATTGAAAGAAAAGTTGTATTCAAGGAAGTTGTAAATTATGAGTAACTTTGCACGCTTAACTTTAATAGCATGGTTTGGTCAGGGCAATCAATTTCAGGTTTTATTTTCTGAGTTCAGTTCTATTATCACAGTATCTTTTTTTCTCTTTCCAGGCAGTTAGAGAGAAACTTTCAAATTTTGAGTTCACATTTTCATTAAGTCCCATTAAGACTCCTCAAGGGATATTCATTTTCATAATTTCATATGGAATATTCTTATAATCTATTTTTTCATTTTTTGCCAGTGAAATTGCTAGGGACAAAGATGTGTAATGTTTTTAATCTTCCTCGTGAAACACTATTTATAGTGTATTACAGAAATTCTTTATAGATAATGGTCATCACACTTTTTGAGCCTAAAATACGTTTAGGTGCTACGAAACCTTGTATTTTTCAGAGGAATGCCAAATTTCCATTGGCAGTAATACAGAAAACAGCTGCAGAGATGGTCATTAGGGCAATGAGAGAATGATTCATAGCCTAAAAATGTGTGTGTTCTTAGGGGTCAGATTTTAATGAATATTTTACCCACAATAACTGCCTATTTTGTTATAATAAATATATATATATTAAACTTTCTTTAACTAAACTCTGTAACTATGGGAATTATTTTCTTTACATAGTTGCGCACACGTATAAATATATATATATAAAATATATATTTTTCTTTTACCACCTACTCCTAGCTTTTTGTTTTAAATAAAAAAAAAAGAACAAATTAGAATTTACCTTCCTTAATCACAAAAAAAAAAAAGAAATGGGCTATGATGGCTGGGCATGAAGTCCAGGGAATATTAGTACAAGAAAAAAATACATGCAAGTTCTCCTCTTTTCTACAGAATTTCGGGTGTTTGTCTTCCCCCGCCCCCTTTGTAATATGCATGTCTTAACCAAAGGGAGAATTCAGAGACAACAATACATTTTATTTTTCTGTACGTATTCAGCTCGGATTGCACAGGCACAAGATCTTCCATTTGCGATGCACAAAGTTCTGTGCTGAATGTTATAAATACCTTGTACCAAAACCTTCAGTAATGAAATTCTCTAATTCCCATATTATTTGATACCTGCCATTGCTTGTTTGCAACTGATTGTTTATAAGAGGGATGTACTTATGGCAGTCGTGGGGCAGCCCCACAACCAAATCAGCTTTGGTTTGTAAAGAATTATCAACACTATCCATTCCATTTGTTAGAAAGAGGAGAACAGCTAATAAACTTTATTGTACAATATATTTGTCAAGTGTGTTTTTAATTAAAAGAACTACAGGTGTTTTAGCATTTTAAATTAATTGACTCAGACCGTGAATGAAAATAATGTGTTAGAGGAACACCAGTGACCAGACTGGGGCTGGTGAAGTTACTGCATTGAAAGCAGGTTTAAACTTGTGATGCAATTATTGCTGGTGTTATATGGAATGGTAATGAGGCTTACGGGAAGTCTGAGCTGTGGGTGCACGGCCCAAAATAGTTTGTTTTGCAAGATTTGGGAAGTTAGGTGGGCTGTCTTTCTGAGACTTCCTGTCTATGAAAGTGCAGGGTGTACTGGATTGATGCAGCTTTTGATGAATAATGTCATACATTTTTAAGGGAGCTAAAGATGTACTGTAGTCTCCCTCTTCGAAAGGGACTATCTGAGATGTCTAGTGAGACATCTGAAAAGACCTACTCTAAAAAAAGTAGAAATATATAAATCTCTGGTATCAAATCTGCAAATGCATCTGACATCTCTATATTGTGTACACTTTTTTTTTTACCTCATTTTTTAACCCCTCAGAAGGAGTCCTGTTCAGCTGAATAGATCTGTGAGGAATTGCTCTTTCACATATTGGACTGTCTGAGTAACTTTCACAGAGCTTTACCCCAGGCACTTGTCATACACTGGCCAGGTATCACCAAATACTCCACTCAGACTGAAGTCCACAGTAATTTCCTTGCACAGTTGTCATGCTGGAGTGAAAACAAGTCTTTGATCAAGAAAATCTAAGTGACTCTGGTGTGTTTTCTTTGCATTTTTGATTTTGTTTGTTTCTGATCTTGTCCTTGAGCCCTGTCAGAAGAGTTGATTCTGACAGCCCTGATGCTCCTAGTTATCTTGTTTTATCTTGTAATTGTTGGGATTTTGCATTATTTAGTGTTTCCCTGGCTTTCATTTTTCCAGTATCAGGTGCTGATACATCTTTGATTCTTGGGTACACTTTCTGCATTTTAAAGATACATTTTACAATACCTACACTTCTCTTAAGCCTTCCACAACTAGAATAATTGGGAAATCCAAATGGCATCATACTGATGCATTACCACCCTTCTCCTGGCCCAGTGAAGGCACCATGAGTTTTCTTCCTGCCTGCTAACCCAGCTGGTTGTAATTGCTATACAGACAATTGCCTGATGAAGTATTTGTTATTCTCTATTAATATTGTAAATTATACTAATTATTTCCTCATGGGAATTTTTTTCTAAATTGTGGTGAAAATTAGGTTAAGAAATTTAATATCTCCTTAAAGCACAGATATTCATAGAGTTAAGAATAAAATAGGAAAATTACTGAAATTCTCATGAATTGTGCTTGTGTGATTGTTTAGAGGGGCCTACATTCAGAATAGGGCACTGGCCTTCTGAACCTTTCCTGTAGAGGATCAGAAGAACCACAGGAGATCCCTGCTACTAAATTCATGTCTTATTAATCCAGCCCTTGCAGTCTTAAGCAACTGGTGCTGGGACTGTGCATCAGTCTTGTCATCTGTATACAAATGTAAGCCCTACTGCAAGCATCACGGAGGGCTTCAGATGTTAATCTGTGGGAAGGGCACAGGAAGGATCCAAATAATGCATCCTTCAATGAAATTTGGAAGGACTCCAGTTTAGCATTTTAGACAACACAGGGACGATTAATTCCAGAGGCAGCCATAAGGTTTTATTTGGGAAGGAGATCTGGAGGGATCATTATAATTTTTTTTTTAAGTTCTTAACTTGAAATAGCAATTAATTGACTCAGCTGTTGTCTTACAGTTGCTAGTAAGCGTTAAAGCATTCTGGCCAAATTGCAGTCAGATAGCTGAGTAACTAACTGCTGGAAGCATCCATGCCACATTCCTGGTTGTACAGGCTGTGTGGGATGCACACAGCTCTCGGTGTGTGTGAGGAGTCATGGCAGGACACAGCCATTCTGTTGCTGAGTGCTGAGCTGAGTAGTGGCAGTCAGCAGAGCAAAGCAGCACTCAGTGGCTTTTATCTAAACCAAGTGTGTTACAGGCAGCTCCAGTTCATTGACTCATGAGACATGAAGAAAAGGGCAGCACAAACGAGTGTTGCTCTGTGGAAGCTATGCTAAAATTCACAGCAGCTTTTAGCAGAGCTATTGTCAGCAAAGTTTTTACTTTTTCTGGGCCTTCTCTAAAACCTTTAAAAAAAATCAGAATACTTCAGCTATTTTATAGGACTTGCTATTAAATGTCAGGAAATGTGCACTTAACATGTACTGTACCACCTGTAGAGTGTATGGGCTTTGCTGTTGTAAAAGCCTGGGTTTCTGGTTGTGGCTTTATGAAATGACAGTGCTGAGAACACGGCATAAAGTGACCATCCTCTCTGTCAGATAAAGTTGTTACCTTGAATCTCCTCCTGCTTCCTGAGCCCCATGAGTAGGGAATACAGAAAACTCAAAGTGAGGATTTGGTTCCACAGCCCTACCTCACCTCTGTGTGCAGGAGTGTGGCTGTTTATCAAAGTCTGTGGGTGGTGCCAAAGCAGTAACAACCTCATTGGTGCCTTTGATATTTTGCAATTTGCAGGACTGATTTTTTTTTTTTTACTAGTGTAGAGACAGTGTGAGGAGAGCATGCTTTCTTTTCCAGTAGTCATTACAAGGTGACGTGTACCAAGGTAAGCAGGATAAATTGTTGAACAAAGTGCATCTGCAATTGAACGCTGCTGCTTTTTACCTAAGACCAGGCTGGAGAGAGCACACTTGCAGAAGCCTTGATCTCTTGGTGTTCTGAAGGCTGGAAAAATCACAGATCCCAAAATTTTCACCATGAAGAGCTCCAGAAATGTCTTCTATCTTCTCTTCTTTCATGCTGGTAAGTGTCCTTCAAAAACTTTGACTGTAGCATGGTGTCTCTGGGATTCACCTCTGTGTGATGTGAGAGAGCAGAAGGAAACTAGAACCACTTCAGAACCAATCTCATATGGCCAGGAAAATAAATAGAGGGAAATAATAGAAAAGGAGTAGAAAAGATACCACTGACTCATTGGTATCAAATGTTGTATTCCCTAAGCACTGAATCTACTTCTGGTGCAGTAGTGTCTGTTTCTCACAACAGTAAGAAACTTACTTTGTAAAAATAGAAATAATTGCTTTATTTCACTTATGCTCTGTGCAACATGTTGGCTTTCTCCTGTCACTCCCAAATTCTATTGGTGAATGCTTTTAAATTCAGGGAGGCAAAATTGTGAATAAACTTGGCTTCAGAGACTGACCTGCTCTTTTATGATAGTAAGAGAGGCTAACTGCAGGCCTTGTCTGCACTCAAGCCCACTGCAGCTGGGTTAACTTGTAAATAAGGAGCCCGGACATTGCCCAGATCTGGCTTTCCTGTAACAACAAAGGTCAGCAGTTTGGAAAGGGACAAATAATTACCTGTTTTTGATGAGTGAGGAAAAAAATCAACAGATTAATACTGTTTCACTATTTTGGCTGAAACACAGAGCCAGATGAGCTTTATTTCATGTTTCAGGTGTGTATGGCTAATGATTTCTTCATCCTGTGTGTGTATATCTAAACCCAGAATGCTGAGGCTGAAGAATGGCACTTGGCAGATTTACATACTGAGATGCTGACACTCCAATTTAATTTCTGTTGGCTTGTGTTTATGAAAAGAAAACCCAAACCCCTTTATCAATGAAAACCGGGGTTCTTCTTTCAGCCCCTAGGAATTAATGGTGAAAATTTCACCCAGGCAGATGAGGTACAGATTAAGTTTCTGTGAGGTGTGTTTTTATGATGACCCTGTCGTGCCTTTCTTCTGACCATCTCTTGTTTCTCAGAACTCCTGCAACTCAGAGGTGGGTAATTGTTTCTCCCTCTACTAGCACATGCTGCCATGAAAACTTCCTGTAAGTTTTCCAAGTCTGACTTAATGTTTGTTGACAGCAGTAGAGTTGGCTCCCTGTTGCAGTGGAACAACAAGCCAAAACCACTGTTTCAGTGTCGGGTTTTTTGGCATCAACAATCTTGTTTAGTCTGCAGCCACCCAGTCAGAGAACGTGCGTGGGAGCACCATCGAGCACTAGTGGAGTAACTTTTAACTTGCAAAGTTGGATGTGCCATCTCAGCTGCGTGACACTGGTGGGAAGTAGAGGGCCGGTTAGAGGTCTTAGAAAACCACGTGCCAAACAGCTTGCAGCAGACTCCAGCTTAAAAATCGATATCGTAGAAAAGCAGTAGAATGTTGTGCCCCCACTTACAGAAGTGATCTGTGCCTGTTTGTCAGCGTAAGCCATCCTTGTGTTTGCAGCCACACCGTTGGTATTGGTGACATCTCCTTACAAGAGCAACCAAGTGTTTGTAGCTTTGGCACGTAGGAGGGTGGTGTTTGGGCCTGCTGAAAGGCACCTTTCTTCACTGATTAATGGAAATCTCCACTATTAAACTTGAGTCTTTTCATTCATGGCACCTCCCTCCCCTTTTTCATGGCTGTGGTTATGGTCTCTTATGAAAGAGTGTTTTGAAGGGACAAGTTTACTTTTTTAGTTTTCATAATAAGCCTAGTGGCAAGGCTCTTGAGCACTCAAGGTTGCTTTCCTAATTCAGACCAAAAAGGGCTGGGGCAGGACTCCAGGTACTAACCAGCAATAATTGAGACAAAGTTATCTTTAGACAGTCTCTTTGGTTTTGTAGTGTATCATTTTAAATACTTCTGACACGAGAAAAGATTATGTGTTCTGCAAGGTTTTAAGAACAGTCTAGACGCCCTGACCTATTCCATGGTATCTGTATTTCTTATGTCAGAAACAAATGCCATTGGGTTTCAGTATCTGAGTCTGACCCTGTCTTGTATTCAGTCAAAAAAACCCTTCAGTATTCATGGTAAGCTAAATGAAAGTGGGAATAATCTCTAAAGACCCATTGCTAAAAGAGCTCTGACTTTTTTCTGTTAGGGAGGAGAAGCAGAATGAAAGGATGGCTCTTTGGGAGGCATTAAATGGTAAGCTCTGTTTTGAAGGTGCTGATGTGTTTTATAATATTTTCTCTTGGTGTTGTGTTTGCAGCTCTTGGCCTGGAACGTATCCGGTGGTGCACTGTCTCTGAGCAAGAACTTTCCAAGTGTAATGACATGAGTAATGCCTTTGGTGAGGCTGGAATCCTTCCCACTCTGCAGTGCACAGCAGGGGGGTCAGCTGCCAACTGCACCCAGATGATCAAGGTGAGCTGTGGGGGACAGCAGTGTCATTGATTTAATTTCCCCATGTGCCTAATAATAATCCATTGGTGATGTACATGGCTCTGTGGTGAGTGTCTGACCATCCAGGCAGCCAACCATTGGCTTCCTGGCACTCATGTCTCTGAAAAATCAAAGCATATACTTTTTTAAAAAGTTGTAATACTATTCATATGAATGTGAATGTCAGAATGGCCCCATGTCATCTGTTTGGCTGCTCACGTCTGGCCAGTCATTAGAAACACAGCAAAGGTCTTAAACATTTCCTCCCAAATGCTAATCTTTGATTTGGGAATTGTCAGATTTATTTAGCAGATATTTAAGAAGGGATGGAGCTATAAGATGCAGACAGTAGTTAAAGCTGTGCTGCTGAGCTTATAAGTAGATTGTATTTTGATAAACTCTGGATCAAACTCCTATTTCAGGGTCCGGTCATGGAAATTGCTGTATATACAGATGAGATGAGTGTAAAACCAAATCAAATCTCCCAACACCAGAGTACAAGAGAGAGACAAAGCAGGAAGTGGGGTGAGCAAAGGGCACACAAACCCAGCTCTATTAATTCAACTGCCCAGAGTGTGCTCAGTTTCCAAAAGTAACATCGCTCTGGGGAAGGTTTGAAAGACTGAACATGTGGATTTGCAAAATGCTGTGTGCAAAATAATTCCCTCTTTAGGAGGTGGTAGGAGGCAAAACCTGGATATTGGAAGAAATGTGGAGGCAGGTAATCATGGCTGCCTTCACTGGCAGAGTGTGGGGAAAGAGAAGGATGACTGGCTGTGTTAATAAGTAATAATACTGTGTAGACATGCCTAAGAATCAGGGTTTTGTGGAGGAAATTAAGGCTGTCAAGGACAAGAGTTTCAGAGCAAGGAAAGGAGGTCTGGTAGAGTACTTTGAAGGGAGATGAGGCAGATGATTGTGGCCAGATAAAAGGAACAAATTTCAAAAATTGGTATCTTGTAATTTTTGTCAACAGAAACATAATGGCTGTCTGATTACTAAAACTACCTCATTGCCTCTTGATAAGTTCTGTTCTTGAGTGAGGAAGACTGTATTAAAGAATGTTAGGAGCAGATATTGATATATATGTGGATCTTTCCTTGGGATTAGACAAGAAATACATTCTAATGTCGGATCTTCTCAAAGCACTTGGCTGATTGCTGCATTGCACAAGGGCACCTGTTAGACTCTGCAAAGCAGATTATTGAAAGGACTGATGATTGTCTGCTTCTGACATACAGAGCTCCCAGAATTGCATTTTTAAGCCACTGCAAGCAGCAGGCACCTTTCTAAAAACCTTGGATTCCTATAAAACTTGTTTAGCTGAACTCAGAAACCTGCAGGCAGATAGCATGAGTAAGTAGCTTTCTGATAAAATGAATTTTCAGTGTAAGGCTTCCAAAAAGACTTTGTCCTTGAGACCTCTTTTTTTTTTTTTTTCTTGTGCTAATAGTAATCTACTAAATATTTAAGCTGGCCTGCTCTGGGTGGGACTGTGTGAAACCCCTGTGTCTGCATCCGCACTGAACTCTGATCTTTGAGGCCAAAAGGAGTGGGACACCACGGCTGAAGAGGCAGAGATATGTTGTTCTGTAACATTCCGTAACTTGGACTTAGTCCTGTGAATGTATTAGCACATGGATAAGGGAAACTCATTTTGATTGAAGGTGTTTAAAAATTGAGAAATGTCTAAATATTTAACTAGCGAACCTGACAATATTTAGTGTGACCAAAGCTGTTCTTCAACAGGTTTTCAAACACTTGTGTAGGTAATTCTCAAATGTTGTGACACACAGCAGTAAAGTTCCTCTGAAAGCAATTAATAAAGTGTTACCACCACACATATACTTATTAAAAAAGTCATATGTGGAATAGTCCCTGCAATAATTGTGTGTATTTAAAGGAGAGGCCTGTAGCTTGTAAACTAATTCATGTTTACAACATGAGGCATTTTTTGTCTTGTTCTGTTCTGCTATTTATACACAAGCTATTGATCAGAGGCTCTGCTGCTAAACAGAGCTCAAAGGCTCAGCTTTCCAATCAGAAAAGTGCTTTTTGACGTGGAAATATGGCCACATAACACAGTCTTTGGCTCTGTGGCCAGCTCTTTTCATTTCATCTGCTCTGTTTTCTGTCAACCACCAATTCTAGAGGCTCATTTTGTTTTCCTGAGGGTAAGATCCTTCTACCTCCCACCTCCTCTCCTTCTCACTGTTGGATGTCCCTTCTAAACAACAGGCCATATTTGATTCCTAAACTGTCTTGTGCTCTGCCCTTCACCAGTGGAATATCACATCTGATTATTCCACAAAGATCGTGTCTATTCTTTAAGATGCAAATATGTCTGAGCCCCAACTCCTCTTTAGGTTCCCTTGGATTCATTCAGCACTCATTTCACAAGAAGCAACTCTCAGGACATTGATTATTTTGGCTAATTAATGAATATAATCTTTTTTCTCCTTTGAACCAAACAAATAAAGGATTTCAAATCACATGGCAACTTCAAATCTGGTCTAGCTGTCCACATCAGCATATTACCTATGCTCTCACGTGATCCCTTAAAAAATTTTCAAGCTTTTTATGTGTCTCAGCCTGTTGGAAATTGCTGTGGTGTGCTGGGCAGCACAGTCCCAGCCCTGCTTTAACTAGTGCTTTGCAACGTCCCAAGGGATGGGTGAGCTAAATTACCCCCTCCAGTGCTGAGCCAGAGGTTAAGCAAACTGATAAGAAACTTAGAATCAGCTTAGAAATGCAAAATGTCACACTGCTGATTATTTTGTCAGCAATATTCTTGTCTCTGTGTGAAATGCCCTCTCCTGGCTCCCACTAGTTTCAGTCCACAGTGGGAGCTGGGTTCAGCTGGCCACAGGTGTGTGTACAGCAGTTCTCTCAGCCTTGCTGCTGAGGGAAGTGTCATCCTGTGCTATCCAGAGCAATCCTGCAGCAGGATTCCAGCCAGCTTGGTGTTGCAGTCAACAGAAAAATATGGTGGTGTTGGACGCCTTCCCAGCAGTGGATGCCTCAGATTTGTATTCCCCCAGTTCTGAACAGTCTTTTTAGATTCTTTCTTCCTTCTTGGAAGCGCACTGCCATCTGCTCCCTCCTCTGCCTGTGCGTGGAGGTATGAGCCAGTGTGCTTTAAGGTTGCTTTTGAGTACACTTTGGCATTCAGATTTTGCAGCCCCAGAAGATATTATTTTAAACTATATGCGTATGATGTCAAAACTATATTTACTTTATTTATATCTTCAAGCTTTGGGGCACTAGCTAAAGATATGAAACTCCAAATCGCTGGGCCTCAAGATTCATCACAGACCCGCAGGATCCATTTTTAAGGTTCCTTTGGACTATTAAGACTAGTGAAGCCATCATAGTTCAGGGCTGGTTTCTGCATTGTTTCTGAAGGAAGGCAGTTTTGAAGTGCCAAAATCCCTCTTGGTAATTATTGTTCAGATATTTGAGTGCCCTTAAAATAACTGTTTGGAGAGAAGAAAACACACAAATGCAGACTGAGGGGCCTCCTCTTCTAAATTCAGGTGTACTCTAGCTGTTGATAAATACTGATAATTGACTTTCAACATATATTCTGCCCTTGTGTCTGCACAGGATGATTTGGCAGATGCAGTGACACTGGACGGCCGCTTGATATACCAGGCTGGAAAGGAGAATGGTCTGAAACCAGTGGTTGGGGAAGTATATGATCAAGGTATATTCTGACTAAATAACTTTTAGATGACTTAAAATGCACAAGAATTTACTGTTTCCATTTTATTTGGGGTCCTCCCCTGTAAGACTCTAAACAGTAGGTAGTGGTCAGGTTCCTTCTTAGTTGCTCCTGCCTGTAACAGAGTGTGTGGGGAAAGAGGAGATACCAGGTTGGGGCCAAGTCTGTCCTGAAACAGTTGAGTCAGAGTAGCTGTTCCTGTAATAGGTTTGTTGGGTTGGGTTTTATTTATTTTTTACTGTCTCAGTGCTTACTGTCTTCTCTGTTCCATACTTTTCAGATTACTGAATTACAAAGCATAAATTGTTAAGGTTTATCTCTCAAACCCGTACAATTAGAATAATTAGATCTTGGTTTTATTAGTGTGTATGATTGCCTGCTGGAGGAAAGGAAGTGCTGTTTCTACTCCTTGTCTAGGTGACATTAAGCTTTGAGTTCCTTTCAAGGCAGAGACAGTAATTCAGTGGTGACTTGACATCTTGACTAAGGGCTCAGTATCAGCTTCGTTGTGTAGTTCAGAGCTGGATGATGTTGCACATCACTTTAAGAGACCTAAAGGAAGGAAGAACTCTGGAAGCAGTCTGCAGGCAGTTGTGTCCCACCACTCTATTGTGAGATGGAACTGGATTTGGTTTGTAGCTGGGTCTAAGTGTCATATGGTCAAAGGCATCCTCAGAAGTGCTTGTTGGGCACTTGGGGTCTTGGATCATCTACATCATGACTTGGGTGAGGGAACTGTACTTTGGCTTCTCAAAATCAAATGGGCCTCATTACCCAGAGGCTGTCTGTCTCCAATTCTCAGGTTATGAGCCTCAAATCAAAGAAAAGTGAATGAAATTTAATGATTAAGTCAGATTGAATGACCTTATGGTCACTTCAGACCCTCAACTCTTGACTCTTTGAGTTATATCAGACTATAAAACAAAAAGAATGAAATGAGCTCTGGTGCTCCAGGGATGTCAGCCTGCTCTGCTTTATCAAAATTAAGATCAACTGGGGAATAAATTATATTGGTTTCAATTCAATCAAAATATATTTAGAATCATGGAAAACTTCTTCCAGAAAAAAAAACCAGGGTGACCTTCAAAGTTAGAGCAGATCACCTGTGGACTTTAAGACAACACACACTGAAAAAATAATGGGGGCCATTGATTCACAGTCAGCAGGTTCTCACCAAGGATGTGAACAGTGTGACTTCCCTGTGGGCAGGGGATCCACAAGAGGCCACAAATCAATGTATCTCACTGTAATGCTGATGTGAGGCTACTTATCTTGCTTCTCTTTCTTCCTATACTGCAGAGATTGGAACTTCCTATTATGCTGTGGCTGTGGTAAAGAAGAGCTCCAACATAACCATCAACAGCCTGAAGGGTGTGCGTTCCTGTCACACAGGGATCAACAGAACTGCAGGCTGGGATGTGCCAGTGGGTTATCTGACTGACAGTGGGCGCCTGGCAGCAATGGGATGTGACCTTCCAAAAGGCAAGACTTACAGGGCAAAGATCTGTTCTTCAGCAATGCCTTTCTGAGTGGTCTTGGGCCCCTGTGTGTGGACAGAAACGTGTGGTTCAGCTGCTCTTTTGTTCCTTGGCTTTGATGCTCGTACCAGGGAATAGACCTAATGTAGGTCTGACAAAGACTGCAGGGTTTTTGTTTTTTAAACTTGGAAACCATCTTTTAAGAAAAAAAATTACTTATGCCTTCTAAATCTCTTCAGAGATGTGCTGTGTTAAAATGAGATTGTAGGATCTTGTTTTTTCATGGCTAACAAATGTGTCATTCTAATTTCACTTTTAGCTGTAAGTGAATATTTCAATGCAAACTGTGTTCCTGGAGCAAATGGTGTGAACTATCCCAAATCCCTTTGTGAGCTCTGCATAGGGAATTCGGCTGGAGAGCACAAATGCGAACGAAATTCCCAAGAGCAATACTATGACTACAGTGGGGCTTTCAGGTAAAAATTATGTCTCTGTCAATTTTTTTTATCACTGTGCTCTCTCTATAGACACCAGTCTAGGCTTCACTGACTGGAAATTGAAGCCATAGATCTTCCAGTTTATCTTGCTAGAAAATCTGCAGTTTTGTTAGGACAACCATGCTTTTAACCTAACTGAGCAAAAGTAATTCTTAACCCACTATTTCAAGTATTAATATCTGAGTATTAAAACCAAATGGATATTTAGCACATATACGGGGCAGGAAAAGCTCTATTTGCTGTTTGTTTTGTCCAGCAGCTGTTGACACAATCAGTGTTTGTTTCATCAGACTTTACTGACTTTATCTTTCCCAGTAAAACCTGATCGCCCTTGGAGTCTGAGAGCTGAACTGTTGCCCTACTTGGTTATCTCAGTCATCCCACCTCAGTGGCACTGAATTATCGACTTGCTCTGCCTCCATTTTTGCACACCAATCCCTTATTTTCCTCTTTTCTGTCTGTGTGCTGTGTTGGAGCTCCCAGTCCCTGAGTAATAGCATTAACTGAGCAAGGACAGAATTTGCTTACAAGAAACACTTGCTCCTTCCTGCACATTCCCCAAAGGATTGTGTGACTGCCTTAGACAGAGAAACTGTCCTGGACAAAAAAGGTCATGGTGTTTGTCCCAGGCAGCACTGAACATGTTGTCCATGTTCACCAAATGACAATGATAGTTTACTTCATGCTCTAACAGCCACTAGTCTCTGCCTTGAGCAAAACTCTCAGCACAAGGAAATAGGTCAGTGTCTGTGTCTGATGGAACGGAGCACAGAGCCCTCGGGCTGTCGGCAGTGGCCAGTGCACAGGAGCTGGGTTTTGTAATGCATCTTTGTGCTTGGATTTATATTTATTAGGTGTTTGGCTGAAGGTCCTGGAGAGGTTGCTTTTGTGAAGCACAGCACAGTGCCTGAAAATACAGATGGTGAGTAATCCTGAAGCTTGTTGAATAATGGCTGCAAGGTCTGAAATACAGTGTCTGTAATGACAGTATAATATCAAATGTTTGATGTATTTTGAATTGAGGAATCAGCAAATAAATGCTGTGATAGTGAAAACATGTACCCACAGAGGTGTGCACCAGGAGACAGAATCCATGGGATTTTTTTTTTTCTTGATAGTTTCAATAAAGGTTAGAGGTGGAATCTTAAGCTGCTTTTGGAAAGAGAATTTCAACAGCAGTAAATTATTTTTATATAGACCTGGGCTGTTACATTGCTCCAGCCTACCAAGGGATTTCAGCAGAGAGTAGCAGAGAGTAAACAAGAGGTTACCTGCCCTATCTGGCACTATGTGAAAACCACCTTGAGCATATCATTGCTTTAATATCATACACCTATCTGACCCAGGGGAAAGAAAAACAAAAAAATGTTGCCCATGATCCTAAACTTAGGGATGCTCTCGATACTGCTGCAGACCCCAGTACAGCTCAGTGCAGTCTCACAAGTGTTAAGCTGTCTGTTGTCTCATCAGACATAAAGAACTAAAGGACCCCAAAGGTGCACGGGGTGTGTTGTGCAGTCAGGAATAGCTCAGAGATACTCAGGAGGTGTGTGTCCTGCTCCACATGTGCCAGTGATGTTTAGAGAAGGCTTGGAACCAGGAGCATCAGCCCCACCTGAGGTCTGTTCCATAAGCATGTCCTCTCTGATTTCAGGAAGAAGTTCTTTCTTGTGGGCCCAGCGGCTTCGCTCCCGGAACTTCCAGCTCCTGTGTCGCGATGGCAGCAGAGCTGAAGTGTCAGAGTGGAGAACCTGCCACCTGGCCCGAGTCCCAGCTCGCGCCGTGGTTGTGCGGCCTGACACAGATGGAACAGTTGTCTTCCAGCTCCTAAACCAGGGACAAGTAGGACACCATTTTTTCATCACTATGTTGCATTTTAGAAGGGTTCTCCCACCCCTCTTGTAAGCTGAAGACAGGATATCTGGGCACCTTTGGCTCTGTGGGGTTTGAAGGGGTATGGGATGTCACAGATCCCAGGCAGAGGGATGTCTGACAGGTGCTTTTTTCTTCTTTAACATTACAGCAAAGATTTAATGGGGTGGGTGCCAAGTTTCAGATGTTTGACTCTGCAGCCTACGGTGCCCAAAATCTTCTGTTCCGAGACTCCACGACAGAGCTCGTTGCAATCACAGCTCAGAATTATCAGGCATGGCTGGGTGATGAGTATCTTCATGCCATGCAAGCTCTGAGCTGCGACCCCAACAGTAAGTTGTCTGTAGATTCCTATTTATAACCAAGAACAAAGATAGGTGATAGCAGAGATCATGTTCGTTCTGGTTTTTCTCCTCACTCTTCGAGGGTTATGGCAAGATGCCAGTCTGATCTTTGAGCTTGCAGAAAGGTCACCTTTTGATAGAAACAATATCACATTGCAGAATACTTTCCTGTGCAAATTGACACACTCTGTGTGTTATAAGACCAGGCATTTTTTATCCTTTCTGGTATATGGAGACATTAATCTGGTAAACTGCTACTGTTACTTGATACTTAATTTCTTACCTGCTGACAAGGGGAAATAATAATGCACTGCTGCACAAATCCTCAGGTAGTCTATAAAAATGTATGAATGGGTTCCTAGCAGAGGATTTCCTCCAGAAGCTGAAGGAAATCCTCAGTTGCTCTTTACTGAAGCATTATGGTCTTTCCTACTATCAGAAGAAAGTAGAAATTACTTGATATGCCTTCTGGGAAAGTCAGAAAGACAGGTTGTAAGAATCTCTGCCTTAAGAAGTTTAATAATCCTGCCAACTGAGCCTCCAGACACGCTCTGTGCTGTGGCAAAGCCCCTCACCTTGCAGACTTATGTCTTGTGGGTGCTGCTCCGTGACTGTCAGGTGTGAGGAAGTCTGTGTTCAGGGGGACTTTTTGATGCACTCAGCTAACCATTATGGCTGTGCTTAATGGTCAGCAATTGTAGAAGTTGTTGTTCCTTTGCTATGGATGGGTTTGCAGTGTGAACATAACTGCTAATCTGGAGTGCCCTGGTTCCTGATCAGGTGGAAGTCTGAGCTGGAGGGATGGGGAGCAACACAGAAGCAAACATTTTCCATAACATGTGTGAGATGTGTAACAGGGGGCAGCATGAATCCCTCCTTGTCTATTGAAAAGAAAGTTAATGTATTGTTTGCTTTTCAATTTTGTGCAGCCTTGCCAGAAAGCCTGAATTGGTGTGTTGTATCCACTGAGGAGATTTGGAAATGTGGTGAAATGGCCGTTGCCTTTAGGAAAAAGAATTTGAAACCAGAAATTCAGTGTATTTCAGCCAAGACAAAGGAAGAGTGCATGGAGATGATCCAGGTAGGCTGCTATAATCCTTGTGCAATAAACCAAATGAACAGAAACTGCTCCCTGCTGGGTTAGAGATACCTGTGTGACCAACAGGAACACTGGATTTCAAAGAGGTAGCTCAGGCGGTATGGATGAGCCTGAACCCTGATGATCTTCAGCTGTGATGGGAGCACTGTTGCCCGTCTAACTGTAGCCTGTATGTGTGAAATCTCCTGTCATTGTTTCACTGATGATGCTTCGTGCACATCTGGAAGTTTTCTTTAGCAGTGTATTGCTCTTTTGCTGTAAGCCTTGCCCTTCAAGGTCCAACAGGTGTGATGCTCAAGGTGTCGTTGTAGTGGGGAAAGTATCTGCTGTTTTTTCACAGAAATCCTACATTTTCTTATATTTTTCAGAAAAAGGAAAGTGATGCTGTAGTTCTGGGTGGAGCTGATATTTACACAGCTGGGAAGACATATGGCCTTGTACCAGCTGCTGGAGAAAGTTACTCTGGTAAGAAGGTCGGGAAACATAAATATAGACCTTATTTTTCCAGGTTGTTTGAAAACAGCTCTAAAAGTACAGCCCTTTGTCCCTAGCCCTGCTGGGAATGCTGTTTTCAAATACATGAGAATTATTACCCCCACATCATGGATAGATGAGGAAATAAGTATGAGATGAGACTTCTATAGTGAGCCAATCTTAACTGTCCTGCTGCAGGACCAGGTTGAGTCTTTGACAGTTTTGAATCTTGGAGTTCCTTATTTGTCTTTTCAATTCTGCAAAAAAATATTTACAATGGAAAAAAGTAGTATTCACAAAGTCAAAATATTTTTAACAGAAACAAAAATACAGAAATTACACAGTAGATTCTAGTTAAAAGCAAATTCTTCCTGACAATATGGCTGCTTCAGAGTCACCAATGAAAAGTGGCCTTGTGTCCATGATGTCACTCAAGGTAGAGTTTCAATATTATGCAAAACTCATTGATGTTTTAATACAGGTTTGAGGTTTTCACATAAAAATAACTTCTTAAAGCAGATTTGCTAAGTGACTAATGACCCAAATGTTGTTTTTCAGAGGGATGTATTTGTAAGAGCTAGCATTAACAGGAACACTTTCCTGTCTGTCTCTAGTTTATTCAGCTCAGGTGCAGCAGTGCCAGCTTACAGGCTATAGGTGAAGGCAGCACTGTGAGGTAGTAGAAGTGAAGAGTAATTCCATGTACATCCATACTTCCTCACTAGCTGAATGTTGGTGCAATTCAGTTGGCACCAGATAAGAGTAATGAATCTGTAGATGATCACTAAGCAGTGGAAATGCTGAAGGGAAGCTGTAATGTGTTGTGGTTTTTTTCTCCAAGCTAATGACAGCAGCAATGCATACTATGCTGTGGTGCTAGTGAAACGAAATCTGTCCAATGCATTCACCATCAGTGACCTGAAAGGGAAGAAGTCCTGCCACACAGGACTGGGGAGAAATGCTGGATGGAATATTCCCATTGGCATACTAATTAAGAGGGGGATTATTAAGCCCAGAGACTGTAATATTCCTCAAGGTAAGACAACAATACTACATATAAAAAATAGAGTAATAGTTTAATGATAAACTTTAATTAGGCAAGTAAGTTTGATATTTCATAGCTCTGTATTAACCATATTTGTTTGTGAAGGGGTATTGTGTTTTTAATATAACGATTTGAAATTTTAAGTTTGCCACCAGAGTGGACTAGTGGTGGAGTCTAACTGAGAATGTTACATCTAACACAAAAGTATTCCTTTCCTTTATCAAAAAATCAGTGGTTAATTCAGGTTGGATAGGACCTTTGGAGGTCATCTCTAGTCCAACCAACTGCTCAAAGTAGATCTGATAGTCCAGATTGCTCAGTGCTGTGCCTAGGGAGGTTCTGAGTAACTCCTAGGAGAGAGATTACATACATCATCTCTGGACACTGTCCCAGTATTTGACCATCTTTGGTATAAAGAGTTTTTTTCTTGTACCTAATCAGAATTTCCTTCCTGTCACTTTGGTTCTGTTACTTCTCATCCTTTTGCTCTGCATCCCTGAGAAGGATCTGTCTTTGTCTTCCTGAAAAACCTGCTATGTGAATGAAGACAGCAATACAGTGTTAGTTGTCTTATCTCCAGGCTGACCAAACCCACTTCTCAGCCTGGTAAGTGCGAGTTGTGCTCCAACCTCTGAGCATCCCACTCTCCTTCTACCGTATTTGCTCTGGAATATCCATGTCTTTCTAGCACTGGGAGCTCAGAACGTGGCTCAGATGTCAGAGGAGAACCATTGCTCCCTGACTGCTCCATTAACACACCCCAGAATGCCATGAGCTTTCATAGGCACAAAACCATGCTGATGACTCTTGATCAACCTGTTGTCCACCAGGATCCCCAGATCCCTTTTTTATACAGAGCTGTTCTTCAGCCTGCCAGCCTTCCATGTTCTTACCCCATCCTAAAAGCAGGATTCTGCATTTGCCTTTGTTGAACTTTGAGGTTCCTGTCAGCCTGTTTCTCCAGCATGACCAGACTCATCTCAATGGCAGTCCTGGCCTCAGTGTATCAAAATGCCGAAGTTTATTCCAGCTTTCAGAAATGCATTTGAAGAGTCCATTGCTTTTTGTATTCAATCAACTTATTATGTTCTCTTGATGTATCCCCTCTAGAAAGTAATTCCAGCTCTGGGATATCATTGCAGTAAATGATGTATCTCTTCATCTCTGTCTGGAATTTTATTATGTTATTTTCAAACTGCATTAGGTAGTGAAGCAATGTAGCTCAACAAGAAAGGAATCTGTTACCATAGAACTCCAGGTTCTAATTTTGCTTGCCTATTTCCTATCTATCTCCTGGGAAACTCTTTGGTTTCATTACCTAGTCAGCTAAACAGTGCTTTGAAAATATGTTAGAAGTTCTAGTTTGTGAATTCCAGTAAGGTAGCTTTAACTCCTATTTCTAGTGTTCTACTGAAACCTGCATTGTTTATAACTTCATGATGGTATAACTGCTTTTTTTTGTGAAGAGTCCACACTTTTCACTACTTGTGTTGGTTTGTCTTCCCCCAGCTGTGAGTGAGTTTTTCTCTGCCAGCTGTGTGCCTTCAGCTGAGCAGGACAATTACCCATCAAAACTCTGTCAACTCTGTATTGGGGATGAGAGTGGAAACAATAAATGCAGTGCAAGTAGCCAAGAATGTTATTACAGCTACAGTGGAGCCTTCAGGTAACTCATACATATGCTTGTTATTTGTCAGTTTGTCAAAATGCAAGGAGGACCTAGTTTCCATCCCAGTGAGCAAACAGTGGTTACAGCATGTGCTGTAAATGAGGTGGGACATGTGTCCCCAGATGTCTTCCCCAATACAGGTCACTAGATCATGTCCAAGCCTTTTGCCACCTTCCTGGTCTGCAGACAACCAGACCAACAGCCCAACCCATCTGTCTGTGTACACAGCACCCACCCAGTGAGAACCAAAGAGATTGTCATCAGTCTCCAGTTTTGCTTTAATCTAGTGCAGACAATCTGCAACTCTGAATGGGCAGGTCATCCACAGAGAATTCCAGCAGGGAAGCAGGCACACAGTAGCCAAGATCTGGCTGCTGTAAGTCCATGCAGAGAGTGACAGGCTAGTGGCAGTCTTCTACAAGGTAGAGGTGGGTTTGGCTCTGACACTTAGCTGATCCTCTCTGAAAGAAGACTGAGTTATGGAGGTAATTGAGATGAGCTTAGAATTCACCTCCAGATTTTCTTCAACTCTGGCTGTCTTCAGACTAACTAGACTAAAAGTATGAGAAGGCATTCAGTTTGTGTATATCCCATTGCCTGGGGCAAATTAAACTGTGCAGAGTAGTGAAAAATCTGTCAGGAACAGCTTTTTCTGATGGGGAAATGCACTGAACAGCACCTGCTGAGTCCTCATTCTCTGCATGACAGTGTCAGCCACAGGGCGATAAGACCTTCGATTATAACTGCTGATGTTAAACCAGGTACAATTGAAATATATGTATTTTTGGTAACTGTTAGCAGTGATAACTTTCCCTCACATTTTGTACTGCATAAGCCAAGCACAGTTACAGCTTTACGTTATTTGATTGGTGAGTTTAATTATCTTGTTTTAAAAAGTGCTTCTGGAAAACATTTGTAGAATAGACTGCAAGGTACCACAATTGAACTGTTACCCACAGATCATCTGCCAGCACACACTGCCCAAAATACCTGGGAAGACAGATCTTTCTTGCTAGTTCACCCAGCTCACCGTTTTGGATGTTATTTATGTATTTCTTCCTGAATGGAGCAATTACTGTGCATTTCTCCTGCCTGTTGACTTCATATTTCAGGCTTAACACAAAAATCTCTGAACAGCCTGTGGTGCCTGTTGCACTGTGCACTAGAGAACACCACAGGGTAACATCCTGGTAAAGGTGTGTGTTCTACACCTCTGCCCTGGCACTCTCTATAGTGGGATATCACACTCATAGGAGAGGAGGTGACTTTTAGGGTGCCCTTGCCATGTTGGGCTGCTCCTCCTTCAGAAAATTAGAGGAAACTGAACTTAGCTCTGGAACAGTGCCCTTAGCAACTGCAGTTAGATTAACTGGAGATCTCTAATGTAGAGGGCTGTAAATGCTGCACTATCACATAATAGGTCTTCTATTTCTTTGCTCATCTAATACTGGCCTTTTCTGTTGTATCTCACACTGTTTTTAATACCATTTTTGTACTGTATTCCTCTCTTAAAATTCTTGATTCAGAATATTTTTTTAATGCTTTGCAAAGATGTTCCTTTCCCCTCCTTTCAAGATGCCTAATTTCTCTGTTTTTTCTTATTACCTTTGGGTCCAGTACATTTTTTTGCAGGAATGTATGTAAGAAAAATTGTATTCCAAACCTATAAGTTATATAAAAAAATGTGATTCACATAAAGATGCTTTGAACTGAATTTATATCTTTGACTTCCTTTAGGTGCCTGGCAGAGGACTCTGGGGATGTGGCCTTTGTGAAGCACTCAACAGTGTTTGAGAACACAGATGGTACTTGCTTTTACACAGCTTTTTATTAGAATTCATTATTTTCTCTTGCTCTAAAGCATTCAATGAGTGACAATGACTGGTTTCTTTTTTTCAGGTAATAACACTGATAGTTGGGCCCAAAACTTGAAGTCCAGTGATTTCCAGTTACTGTGTCCAAATGGTGCCCGTGCTGAAGTCACCCAGTTTGCTCACTGTCACCTGGCTCAGGTGCCAGCTCAAGCCATTATGGTTCACCCAGATATCAACGTTTTTGCTCTGTATGGACTACTGGACAAAGCCCAGGTATTAATAATCCATTTATTTTAGGGGGGAGTTCTATATGGTCTAACACAGTTCAAGGATAAAGACAACAGGACCATTCTGCTATATCATAGGACTGTGCAGAGCCCTGTTGTTGGGAGTATAACAGAGAAGGTAAAATACAACCCATGTCATTTTCTCAGTAAAACCACTCTGGTGCACAAGGGATTTCAACTTTTTGCCCAGCCACTGGTTGCAGTAGTAATTTTCCTGGAGCTTAAGGTGTTTTCCCATGACTTTTCCATGTTTCTGTATGACTTTGAGGTCTACAGGGAGTAGAGTACATGCTAACGCTTTTTCATTCTGGAATTTTCCTAGGAGTGCAACAGAACACTGCTGGATATATTTATGCTGCAGCCTGTACAGGGTGAACCATCTGCCTGGCTGCTTCAGATAGGTTCCTCTCCGCACTGAAGTTAACTTGTTCGAAAGCAATACTGAGTATCTCCATGCTAGGATTCAGTCATTTCTGTAACTCCTGGGCAGACAAACCTTACATTACAGAACAACATTTAGGCAGAAGAATTTTTTTTAAAACTACAGCTCTTTCCAGTTAGTAACTAAAAAACCAGAATCACAAATGCTGTTCTTGTAATTGCCTGTGGCAGAATTCTGTTTCTAATCTACTGGAGCGTCTAAAAGCAAACGCGTAAGAGATTCTGCAATTGTGTATGAATTTTTCATCTACAAAACAGTTCCTACTGTCTTTCATGTTGAACAGGAAGAATGTGGCACTTAATCTTGCAAAATACTGAAACCTTTCCATTATTTTCAGGTCTACTTTGGAAATAGCAGCAATGGAAATGGATTCAAAATGTTTGATTCTTCAACTTTTCAAGGAAAAAACTTGATCTTTAAGGATTCAGCTGTTGAGATTGTGCCATTACAAGAGAAGAGAACATACACAGAATGGCTGGGGAGTGAATATGTCGAGTCCCTCGAAGGGATGCAAATACCACAGTGCTCTGGGGCAGGCAATAAGATAACACAGTACTCCTTCATGGCTGCAGTCATTCCCCTTCTTGTTTTGTGTCAGATACAAGGCTTGGACTAGGACGGTTCAAATGGCAACTTCCAGGCCACCTCTGCCCAACCACCTTCTCTTGAGAAAAGCTGTTTGGATAATGTGCTGGGCTAACATTTGAATGCCTCTTCCTGCCTCTTGCAGGGCAAGTGCCAATAGCACCTGCTCATCAGGAGAGTGGGATGGGGCCGGAAGCTGCCCCATCTGTGTGGATGGGGTGGAATTTGTGGCAGAAGCCAGCAATACAGTATCAACATGTTTTACAAGATCAGTCCAAACCTGGAGCATCTCTGCCATCGTTGCTGATGTTGAACCATTCAGGATTTCCAAGTATTGTTAGATGGATACTGGGTTTCTGACCTGTAGAAGAATTTCTGCATGTTGGAAGGCAGTATCAAAAACCTGTCTAGTGAATCCTCTCTGGCCTCCTGGCTCGTTAAGTTCAGACTCCACATCCCTGCTTAACCCATCCTACCCAGTTCCTCCCAAGCTCTGCTGCCATAGAAGTAAGTGCACAGAGGATAGACAGTGTGTGGACAGAAACCAGTCTAGAATACAGCTGAACAGCTGTGGAAAAAGTCTTCCACCCTTCAGTAGAAGGAGATAGGGGAAATTTCCAAAGACACTGGACAAAAAAGAAGCCCAGAGAGACTTGGAGGGGACTACCTGTTGACAGAGAAAAGGACAAAGCCATATGTGAGCATCCACTGAGCTTGTTGACTTTACCCCACCCAGTACTGACAAGATGTCCTGTGATCTTTAATCTGATGCAGTCTCCATTAAGAACCTTGTGGCTCTCCTCCTTCCACACAGGGCTATCCTGAGTGCCTGTGCATGAAACTTGTATTTGCTGTAGGTGAAACAAAAGTACTTCACTTCTGAGTAAACATTTCTGTTTCTACTGGCTGTAGAATGTGGATTTTATTTTCATCCATAGCTGCACTAACCATGAATGTTGCTGTGCTGCTGGCAGGCACTGTCTTCCTACCTGCCTCATGATCCTGGGATGAACAGACAGTCAGTGTAAAAACAGATAATAATCATGTAAATAAGTGAAAATAACAAATAAATATGAGAAGTAATTACACTTTAACCAGACTCCAGCCTGATAGCTGAACTACTGCTTTTCTGGGACATGAACATTTGTGTTTCCCCTTTGCTGTCCACCATTCTATTGCTCCCAGGTTACCAGAGCTGGAGGAGGAAAGACCCAGCCCAGTCCCCAGCTGTGCCAGATGGGATGAGCGTGTCTGGCAGGGATTTGTGACATGGTGCCCGCTGCCCAGACCCACAATTACTGGCCAGCTGCCTCCAGCTGCTGTCACTGCTGTGTTCCTTCTCTCTGGGCTTTTGGTCAGTTATGAAATAGCCGGCTGAACAGCAGCCAGCAGTGTGCCCAGGTGGGCAAGAATGCCAATGGCATCCTGGCCTGTATCAGGGATAATGTGGCCAGCAGGACCAGGGAAGTGATTATATTCCCTCTGTACTCTCTACTATGGCACTGATGAGGCCACAGTACTCAAGTACTGTGTCCAGTTCTGGGCCCCTCAATTTACAAAGGACACTGGGATGCTGGAGTGTGTCCAGAGAAGAGCAAGAGAGCTAGGGAAGGAGCTGGAGCACAAATCTGATGAGCAGTGGTTGGGGGAGTTTGGGATGTTCAGCCTGGAGAAAAAGAGGCTCGAGGTGACCTCGTCACTCTCTTGAATTGCCTGAAAGGAGGTTGTAGCCAGGTGAGGGTCAGCCTCTTCTCCGAGGTAACAAGCGATAGGACGAGGGGACATGGCCTCAAGCTGTGCCAGGGGACGTTTAGTTTGGACATGAGTCAGAATTTCTTCACTGAAAGGGTGATTAGACATTGGAATGGACTGCTTAGGGAGATGGTGAAGTCACCATCCCTGGAGGTGTTTAAGGAAAGACTGGATGAGGCACTTAGTGCCATGGTCTCGTTGACATGGTGGTGCTTGGTCACAGGTTGGATTCGAGGGGTCTCCAAGGTGGCCCCGAGATGGCTTAGTTGGCCACAGCGTGGCTGGGGCTTTGATCCCCATATGGGCTAGTCCTTTAAGAGTTCAACTCATTTAAGAGTTGGACTCGATGATCCTTGTGGGACCCTTTCAACTCAGAAATTCTGTGGGGGGTGTGATTCTTCCCCAGCCCAATCCACCCCGTGATTCCCTGGATTTCAGCCGCCGGGCCGGCTGATGGGGGGGATCTCTGCGCATGCGCGCGGGGCTCCCGCTGCAGCGGCTGTGCCGGCGGGCGGGCGCCCCCTGGCGGCGCGGGGGCGGCGCGGGGCCGCCATGGGCGCGCGGGCGCTGTGGGCGCTGCTGGCGGCGCTGAGGGCGGGCTGGTGCCTCCTGCCGCAGAGCGGGTACCTGCACCCCGACGAGTTCTTCCAGGCGCCCGAGGTCATGGCAGGTAAGGGGCGCGGATAAGGCGGGGGGACCCCGGGCGCGCTGCCTCGCACAGCCCCGCGGATGCGGGGGATGCGGAGCCCCGGGCACGGTCGGGTGTTCCCGAGGGATCCCCGGAGCCGCCGGCTCGTTCTCCCGCGCTGTCACACGGCGCTTCCCGCAAGCCGGGCAGGAGCGGGTCCGCAGGGCTGGGTGGGCGGTGGGTTCCTGCCTGTGCTGTCCACACCGAGTGGCGCCTGCAACCGCATCACCCCGACGGGCTGCTTTTCCTTGATTCTCTGTAAAAATGAACGGTACACTCCTAAAGCTGTCAAGGTTGACACCAAGGTCTCGAAAGTCTGGGAGCTGCTCTGCATTGTGATGTCTCTGACAGCAAATAGCATCCCTACTGCTGAATTACTGAATAAAATGTATTATGTATTATATGTATTTTTCTTTTTCTCTTCCTTTATAGGAGATATTTTAAATCTACAGGTCTTTTATCCTTGGGAGTTCCTTTCGAGCTTTCCTTGCAGAACAGTTGTTTTCCCATTAATGACATCAGGAGTTACCTACTGGGCAATCAAGTCTTTGCAGCAGCTGGACATATGTTCAAGTTGCATCAACAGCTACACTCTCCTTGTATCACCTCGCCTTCTCTTTACAATCTTTTCTTTCATACTTGACTATAGCGTTTATCGATTAGCCCCTTTCTGGGAAGCAGATCTGTGGAAAGCGCTGGTACTTCTTGCTGGATCATATGTCACTCTGGTGTTTTATACGAGAACATTTACCAACACGCTTGAAGGACTTCTCTTTGCTCTTCTCATGGTACTGGTTTCCTCAAGAAAGTCCAATGGCAGCTCAGTGGAGCCTACAAGCAGTCCTCTCATAGGTGTTATAACAACTGCTGGGTTTTTCAACAGGCCAACCTTTCTGGCATTTGCTCTGATGCCCCTGCTTTACTGGGCAGGTTTAATTGTTGATTCTCAGAGGAGCATTAAAAGTGTCATAAACCACTTTTTGAAGCTCATACTATGTGCATGTTTTACTGCCATTGTTTTCATAACAGCTGACACCTTTTATTTTACCTCTGTGAGCTTAGATAACCTTTTAAGCATTAACAAGGGCAGCCTATTTGATGTAATAGTTCAATTACATAAGAAAATGGTAGTAACCCCCTTCAATTTTCTCAGCTATAATCTTAATCCTCATAATCTTGCACTGCATGGAAGTCACCCACGAGTTACACATTTTACAGTCAATGGAATAATGCTCTTTGGGATCTTACATGTTCTGGCCATTGGTGCTGGTTTTAAAATGTTAAAGAAGTATGTCCAGCAATTCATACGGGTCAAATCGTGTTACCATGGGCTGCCTGGGCTATTGGTGCATTCTGAGGGCAATCCAACATTACTGCTGTTTTATTTTGTTCCTTTGGCATTTCTCTCCCTATTCAGTCACCAGGAGCCTCGGTTCCTCATTCCTCTCATCTTGCCATTGGTCCTGTTCAGCGCGTCACAGGACAGAGCTGTGAAGTGGAAACACCTCATTGTTATTTTCAATCTTCTTGGGGCATTCCTGTTCGGGTGCCTACACCAGGGAGGGCTGATACCCTGTTTGTTTCACTTGGAGCAGCTCATACATTCTCCAGTACCCTCAGACCATCCAAGGCACTATACTCTACTCTTTGCTCACACCTACATGCCTCCAAGGTTTCTGCTTAATATCAAGAAGACAGACGTGCACGTACAAGTCATTGATATGGCTGGGTCTGGAGAAGAAACCCTCTGCCAGACAATAGAGCAGCAAGCAAGCAATTTTACCTGCAGCGACTGTCACATTTTTGTCATAATCCCTGGTACAGTCAGAGCCACAACTGCAAAATGTGGTGTCTCATTCAAGAACGAAACTGTGATATTTCCACACTTATCAATGGAAGACCCACCACAAATGTCCATCCTATCCAGTGGAAATTGGAGAAGTCAGTTAGGACTATACATCCTTCAACTAGACAGAGATCAGCACAGCCTTTAGATTTTAGGAGAACGATGTTTTAGGTTTTCACATCATTTGGGCACAGTCTGAAGGTGCTGTGAGACCTTCCTCTTCACAGGCCCACCTTCCTCACAAGTAGTGGCACTGAGAGCTCTCCTGAGTCTCTTTATTTGTCATATTCTTACACTCACCGGTATAGCCAGTTCTGGATAGAATCTCCTTAGAATTTGAGTTATTCAGCCCTGTAGTGTTTCATATGAACTTCTATAATTTTCCTGATGAGAGAGGATGAAATCAGAGGCCACCAAAACTGTGATTCAAGCTTAGCAGTTTCCATGTGAGATTTATTTTTGGAAGTTTTTATAATCTCTGACAGGGTTTGTGGACTGTGAGGTGTTTACTGATTATAGGCATTAAATCAGCTGTTGGAGAGAGGTTACAGGGCTAGACAGAAACTGGTCTGATTAAATAAGATTTTATTTTATGTACTTAAAAATTCATTAGACCAGACTGCAGTCACAGTACAGGCACCAGCACTGTAACCCTGTCTTGGGTGGTTCTGCCTTGAAAAATCCCCAGCCCTGATCTGAGAGAATCTGATTTAGAACATGGAAGATGCTTCAGCCTAAGTACTCGTGCTAAATCCTAAAATCCAAGCTTTGCCTGTTTAACCTTCCTTGCCACAGTTCCATCCTCGTGGACGTGTTCCACACGCACTGCCCCCAGAGCTCGAGGAGGCTCTTCTGTGATGGCATCGAAGCCTCTCGGGGCGCTCCTGCCCTTGCACATTCCCGGCGCCGTTCTCGCAGCTGTCGCTGTTCTGTCGCGACTGTGACTCCGGCAGAGCGCACGGCGGACCCTGCGGGGAGCTGGATCGAGGAGCTGCGCAGACAGAAAGCGGGTAACTCGGAGGGATTTGATCCTTTGTGCCGTTTGAGCAGATGGATCTCTGAACAGGCTCACGGCAGGGTCGGAGATCCACCAGTTCTGCAGCCGGGGAGCGCGGGAGGACCCGAGGGAGGAGCCTCATCCCCTGCACCCCCCCCCCCTTGCTTAACTGCTCCCCATTAAATCAGCTTAGTGGGAATGACAGGTCACATCCTGGCTCTCCACTGGAGAGCAGTCTCATTTTCAACTGGGATACAAATAACTGGGCTTCAGCTGAGAATGATGTGTGCACATAATAGCACAGCACAACTAGCAATCTTTGGGTTTGCCTATGTGAGCTTCTGAATCCAAAACATCTTCACATGGAGGGAGACACTAATTTGGCACATGCATTGTAGGTCAAGCCGCTCTCTATGGAACGAATCTGACACTTGAATTATTTCTGCTCACAAGGGTGGTAATGCCTTTGGCAGTTCTGCACCCACACAGCTTTATATAAGGTCTTATGAGCCAGGTTTTCAATAGAGATGAGGATAATATAGGTTGATGCCAGGCTCTAAAGGGATGCTAGGAAAAATGCATGTGTGAAGGGTTTGCCTGTATTTTCCAGACTATAGGTATGACCTAGATTTTTAGGGAACATAGCTCTTGCTTTCTTATAAAGCATTGTGTGTTGTTTCCCCTGTATGTTCATCACATCCATCACTCTTCATTGCTGACATGCCTGTAATTAAAGGTGGGTGTCTGGGGGGAGGCAGGGGGAGAGGGAGTGCACGTATGTTTGTACTGCTGGCTCACAAAGTAGTGGAAGTGGTTGTGAAAGCATAGTGACACGAAATGTATTTTCCAAGGTATTTTCCTTTTTGCTCTCTGGGAGAACAGCCACGTGCCACAGCTGGTACTTGCTGTTTTCAGCTTTCTTAAACAGCTTAAATCTTGAAAATTACTTCCACAGAACTTATGAACTCTGGCAATCTGAGTGGTGTAGGTCTTGAAACTCTTCAGGGATGGAATGGAGCACCATTTCCATGGCACAATGACTGCTCTACAGCTGCACAGGTAACCTGTGACTGAGCCAGAAGAGAACCTGGACTACAAGTACTAACTCGGACTGACAATACACTGCTTTTGTCTCACCACCCAGGCCTTTGTAATTTACACCACAGATGCAATCTCTCCATCCACGCACACCTGAGTCTTTGTTGGTGGGAGGTTTGATTTTACCAGCAATACTGGAAACTGTATCTCAGGTAATGTACAAGGTCCTTGTCACCTGGGATGATACAAGGAATGGAAATGATTCTCCACAGTTAACTGAGCCTCAAGTCACCTGGACCATGCTCTGGAGGAAAGTTAACTGCTTCAGTCTCACAGATGTTGTCATATACAGCATCTGAAGCAAACTAGCCCAGTGCATCACATATGATAGGTGCATCCTTTTCCATATTTAGGATGGCTCTATTGGTCATTTTTTCCCTGTAAACCTTTCTTGCTACCACAGACTTGAGGTGTGCTTTTAGGGTAGCTTTTACCTTCCTGTAAGATGGGCATTATCCTATCCATCATCATCGACACTTAAAAGCTCTTTCTGTATCAAAATTGTAACACATGTAGAGTATTACTGCTGTATAGACAGACATTGTTACAGCCACTCCCATGAGAATCGTGGTTTTATTTCAAGTTTCTTATGAAGCACTTAAAGTGACAATCGTGACAGCGTTCTGGATGATGTTTAGTGAGTCTGCTTGTTCCTGAGAACTGTGGAACACGTAAAACGGCTTTGAAATGAAAATCCATCACACCAATGAGCAGCAATAGTTTCATATGTCCATGCGATGGAAGACGCACCGTAAGCTCCGCAGCTCGCCGTCCGCCGCCCGGGTGTCCGCGGGGGTCCGGAGTAGCCACGGGGCCCATCACCCGCCGGCTCCAGCGCGCTCCGACTCCTGGTGCTGTCGCTCCCGTCCCCTCGCCAGCGGTGCCGCCTCTCCCCACTCGGCGCGTTGCTCAGGGCGCTGCCCCGGGGGGGCGGCCCCCGCGGCCCGGCCCGCGCGGCCACGGCCACCCCCGCTGGCGGGCGCCGTCCTTGAGCTCCCCGAGGAAGGTGTCGCGCAGGCGGAACAGGCGCGGGCCCAGGTGCTGCTGGCCGCGGGTGATGGCGGCGGCGGCGGCGCGGGCGGCGGCGCGGATGGGCCGCGACTCCGAGAGCCGCTCCACGAGCCGCGGGCTCGACAGCAGCAGCAGCAGCGCGCGCCGCAACGACATGGCCACCGCTCTCGCGAGACTCGCCGCGCCGGCCGCTCCCTCAACGCGTGGGGTCCCCCGCCGTTCTCGCGAGAGCTGCCCCCGCCCTCGTGCCACGCCATTGGCTGCGCGCGGGGCGCTTGCGCTTGGGGCGGGAAGGCGCTGAGGGGCGGCCGGGACGGGCAGCGCCGGGAGGGTTCGGTGCGTCCTCGGTCCGTCCTGGGCCGGGACAGACCAGGCTGTGCCGAGCCGGGCAGGACTGTGCCGGGCTGGGCAGCACCGCCATGAGCTCCAGCGGGACGCTGAGCATCCTCCGCAGCGACTCGTACGCCGAGCTCAGCCAGTACCGCGACCAGCGCTTCCGGGTGAGCCTTGGCCGGGGGTGGGTGCCGAGCGGTCCGTCCCGCCCGGGCCGGGCTGTGCCGGGGGGTAACGCGGTGTCCTTGCGGCCCAGGGGACGCGCTACGACCAGGAGCGGCTGCTGAGGAAGAGTTGCACGCTGTACGTGGGAAATCTGTCCTTCTACACCACCGAGGAGCAGATCCACGAGCTCTTTGGCAAGAGCGGCGACATCAAGAAGGTCATCATGGGGCTGGACAAAGTGAAGAAAACCGCCTGCGGATTCTGCTTCGTGGAGTATCCTTGTGCGGGCCGGCAGGAGCGGTCAGGGCGCGGGTGAACTGCTCTGCACTGCAGGCTCTGAGTCACGGCAGAGTTCTCTCAGGATAAAAGTAATCGTTTGCTAAAGCGTCTGTGGGGGACGCAGGCGTGAGAGAGCTGTGCTGGGTTCACGGTTGGACTCAATGATCTGACGGGTCTTTTACATCCGTGATTCTGTGACTGGAACATAGACGGCATGTCGAGCAGGGGTAACAGATTGCTTTCACTGTGAGACTTTAACCCAGACCTTTTTTATGTAGTTGACCTCTGCATTAAGTTCATATTTTCCATGCCCGAGTAAAAAGGTGTTTCTTTACATACGAGCATAAATGTAAAGTTACTATTGGTATCTTACATCCCTGTTGTGTAGTCTGTGAAGATCATTTGAGTCTCTTACATGTGAGTCTCTGAAGATCATTCTGTAACTGGTTCTGGTGAACTCACTAGAATGGTGGAAGGTTGCAGCATGAATGGAGCCTCACTGGGGCTTCTCACTTTTTAGCAATAGTGCTTTGTGCTGTTAAGGGTGAGCGTGGTTGGCAGACTTAATCCAATATACGTGTTTTTAGTGCTTGAATTCCAGCACATTGCCCACTAACGGTTTTCTCAGCCCATGTAGCTTCTTAAAAGCTGTTGCTTCTGAAAGTAACTGAGCAGGAACCTGTTTCAAGCAAAGGCTTGGTTTTGTAGCCCATTTGATATTGGGTTTTTTGACACGTGTTGAAAACCAAAGTCCTTTTTTTTTTCCTTAACCTATTCCTAAGGTATTATGCAAGAGGAGATGCTGAAAATGCAATGCGATACATCAACGGAACCAGACTTGATGACAGGATCATAAGAACAGACTGGGATGCAGGATTTAAGGAGGGTAGGCAGTACGGCCGTGGAAGATCAGGAGGGCAGGTAGGTTGTTGTTCAGCCTGGGGTTTTAAGGTGGCTTTGTCAAATTTCTTGGTTTTGAATGAACACACTCGGAACAATTTCAGAAACAGCAACTTAGGAGTCATTGTTTAAGGTAACACTGTGCCTTGGTCTGTAAGACATCTGGTCAATGGCAGTGTTACCTACTAAGAACAGGTAACTTTTTCGTGAATTTCACTAAAAGTACTTGCAGAAACAGCTCTTGGCTGCCTGGGGAGATAATGCTTGTAAGTAAGCCCTGAAAATATAAGGCTGTCAAGAGCACACCGGACAGCAGTTGTTTTACCCCAAGTGGAGCAGGTGGCAGTGGCTTTTACTGCTGGAGCACGAGACCGGCCATATTGCTTGGGCTGCCTCGATTGAGGAGTCCCTGGGATGCTGTTGAAAAGGAAGTTGGTTCATGTTGTTCTGGGCTTCTGCGTGATGCACTTCGCCTTCAGTTTTGTCAGTCAGCTCTGAGTGGCCACTTAACATTTTGTGAGCTCAGTGTGACTATATTCTGATAATGTAAGAGTTTCTGAGAAATTGTTTTTCTCTGTCTTTCCTGGACTCCCCTTTTCCCCTCCTTCATAAGGTCCGAGATGAATATCGACAGGACTATGATGCTGGAAGAGGTGGCTATGGCAAAATTGTTCAGTGCCAGTGACTCGTCGGCCCCACAGGAGAACCAAATCTGCACTGTAAATGTCACCAGACACTAAGTAGGTCTGTTGCACACAAATTTATGTCACTAGAAATTCAGAGGAACTCCTATCCGTGTTTCTGTGAGCATATCCTGTGTTCAATACCTCTTCTGTTTTAATGCCAGGATCCAAAGTGTTGCAGAGGACCTGCAAACAAGGTTTTAAGCAATAGAATGTCTGAGGCTTCGGTCTCTAAATGCTGCTGTAACTTACTGAAAGGAACAAAGATTTAACATAATGGTGCTTTTTTTTGACTGGCAAACTTGATTATTCTGCCACTGGGTTTTGTTTACATTGGTATCACAGGGTGGGGAGCAGTGATAAAGATAATTGGTGGGTGTTTCAGAGATGAAAGAAAAAGGTGCAAAAGAGCCTGAAAAGGAAGTGGAATTTCTAGGGAAATTTTCCAAATTCTAGGGAAGACTTAAAGCTGCAGATTTTCTGGGGTTACTGGATTAGTATTCTTTTTCACTGATGCTGTTACTAGAATGCTTTCATGAACAGCCATAATAAAACAATGAGATTGCTGAACCCAGGAATCATGTGAAGAAGCAGCGTAGCAGGACACAGACCTCTGCAGTCTTCTATTATGTGTAATGTACCTATAAGGGTAGCATGAAGCCAAGTTGTACAGTTACCCCCAAAAATGGGATGTTGGAGGAGCTGTGTCTATAACAAGAAAATTTGTTCCCCAAATACATTTTGAGAAACTTGATTTCAGACAAAGGTGAAAACAGAAATGAGTTTTGGGAGAGCCTTGCTTTCTACTGAGCGTCTCCTTTCTACTGAGCCTTACTCTCTACTAAAAATGGTAAAAGGATTGCATAGATTGGTTTGGTTTGGATTTTTCTCTTTCCCCCCTGTTCATACTGCTGGTTTATATGATGGGATTTTGATGTACTGCAGACATAGGAATAAAAATTGTGATCCCAATGTCTGTGAAATTGACCCTCTTAAATGAAATAGTTTTAAAGGAACTGTTACAGACCTTTGTAATTTTTTATGGACTTCTGAGTTTCTTGTAAATGGCAATTCATAAAGTTAAATCCAAATACTTTGTTGTCCATAACTCCTTAGAAACCTTCAAAGTACCAGGTTATGTAAAAGTTCATATTTACTCACTGGGGATACTGTTGGAAATCTTAATGTGTTTCTTGTGTACAGTTAGTCACAGCTGTAAATTGGAAATAGAACAACTGCTTACTTAGGAAGTGCGGATTTGGCTGGGCTTTGAGGTTTTTTGGTAACCAGAGTAAAACTAGATTTTTTGGGATCACTTGGTGCTGGTTTGCAAACAAGAGTTGGAACAAGGTTGCCTTTTCCGATCTAGTACATTTGATTATGAGTTTACAGCCTGTAATCTGCTCCAGGAAGCTGCTGAAGTTTATTTTTCATTGTATCAATTTTGTATAAAAAATGTGTTACCAAAAACTCTAAAGTCACTTTCTTTCAAATAAAACTGTAACATTAAAATGGTTTGTTACTTTTTTATTTGTAACAGAATCACTGAGAGAACAGAGCTATATTCAGACTCGTGCCTTTATCCTTTGTTCTAATGTTTTTTAATAAGGAGAGAATGAATATTCCTTTCCTTCACTGGATTTTCAGTCTTGTTCAGTTCTTACGTGGATGCTGAAAGATGTTTGGTTAATGCTCTTCATTCTGCTTTGGATTTTTTTGGATTATAGAATAGAAATTAAATTATTTACTGATATTGAAGTGAATGTAAAAGTCTTTAGTGTGTAACAAGTAATTTTCAAGGTGTGCTTCCTTATAAAAATGATACTTAGAATTATTTTTTATTGAAAGTGCTGCAGGACAGTCATTCCCAAATGAAATGGAGGTGGTAGGAAGATTTTCCTTCACAATAGTCACTGTCCTTTGCTGCACCTGTGCAGTGTCTGTGGAAAGATTCTGTTTCAAAGTGAGATTTTCTGTTTTGAGAGATTTCAATCCAAATGGGATTTAAAAGCACATGATGTCTCATGTGAACTCTTAGACTCTCAAAAGCACATATAGAGGAAACTGACTGAACAGGGTTTGATTTTTGCCTTCCCTGACTGAAATCGGATCTGCCTCTCATAAAGTTGGAGCTTCACAAAAGAAACTGAATCAAGTCTTTAAAACTTCACTGGGGGCTTCTTCAGCTTCCTGACATGCTGGTGCATTGGGATTAGGTTCTCTTGGAGGGACAAGATCTCCCATGATTTTTTGACATGCTAGTTCATTATAATTATATACACTTTTATGAAAGTTCAAACTCTGTATTAGCTTTTTGAAGTACTTATTCATCATAATTAGCTACTTTTATGGAATTGTGTCCATAAAGAAAAACAGCAGCTAAGAATATGAGTGGAAGCTTAGATATGCCTTGATGGAAGGGAAGCTGTTAGAAATTAAGGCAGTGAGAGCTTCAGTCCCTCCCTCAGACTGGTGCAGGCTCGTGGCGGGGTGATTTATGTGCCTCTCTTAGGCAGCAATACCTGCAAATAAGATTTATATTCACAGCACTGGAGTTTTGGTATTACAGGGTAAAATCAGTAGTGTAAATTGGAGCACTAAAACCCTTTGTTTTCAATGACTGACAAAATAATCCCCGTTACCAGAGTATCACTGCAGGCTTGCTCCAAGGTGGTCTGCGTGTTAGTCAGGTTACTTACTGTCTTGTGCAGCAGGCAAGTTCCTGCTCAGGTTGGTGCCAGCACAACCACCGTTGGTGTTAATGGTCCTTCATCCACAGATAATTATGAAAAAAACTTTTAGCTAATAT